AGACTTCTTCCTTACCGCTTGTTCCCACAATTTCCAGTTGTATCCGGGCGGACAAGTCGAGCAGCAGGAGTGGCTAAAAAATATTAGCCGCCGGCTGGCGTCACTAAAAATCCAAAATGGGTTATTGTTTCTTTAGGAACAATTAAACGCACCATCAATTTTCCACATTATACACTGTACACTTGACCCTTCTAAATTTTCTAGGTCTAAGTCTTAGTGCCCCATTATCAAGTACTGCAAAATTTATTTTTAAGATTTTTGTGTAGTGCTCTGATTATTGATAAAAATTAAAATTTTTCACTTTAAAATTTGAATTGTATTAAATTATAAAATATAAGTTATTAGATAAAAAATAATCTTTAATATTAATAATATGTTTATTTTAAAAGAAATAGAAAGAATGAAAAAGAAGGAAAATGGAAGGAGTTGACATCCTTTTGCTTTCCTTCATTTCCTTCTTCTCCCCTCCTCTCATTTGGAAAGATAAAATAAAAGATTCTTTCCCTTTAAAATCTTTGCTAACTAAATAGTTAAATTTTAACTCTCCTCCTCCCATCCGTTCAAATCAAACATTCTATAAGAGGTTTATATTTTATCTAATAATTTAAGTTGTACAATTTAAATAATATAATATTATTTTTTTGTAAAAATTATTATTATTAATATGTTTGTGGTGATGCGTAAATTTCATTGAAATTATTTAAATTCAAATAAAAATAGATGAATTCAAATATGTACCCTCACGCATAATTCTCTTCCATTTTTTTAACTTGAAAAAATCATGTTTGGAAATTATTATTTATATGTAATAGTCCTCACCTCATCCTTTAAAATGGCTAAAAATGAGTTGAGTTGGAGTCTAAGAAGAAAGACCAAGTGAAAAAAGACATCTAAAGAAAACACTTTCTATGTCAACTCTTTCCACCCAACCTATCATCTCAACTGGTGGGTTCTATGCGTGCTGTGCTGTGCAGGAGGTTGCTTTTGGGCTTGACCAAGTCCGCTTTCTACATGTGAAGCGTACGTGAGGCTAATAAAGTCGACCATGTGCTGGTGCAAGAAGCTACTTCATTAACATAGGAACTTAATTTGTTGGAATCATGCATTCCCACCAAATGTTTTTGACTTGCTCATCTCTGATTTGAGCTGATTGTGTTGATGTGTGTACGTGTTCTGCTCATGATGAATGAAATTCACTTTGAAAAAAAAAAAAAAAACAATTGGAGGGTTCAACTCACTCCTCTCCAACATTTTGTAACATGTTAGAAAGAAAATTAAAAAAAAAAAAAATTGTCACCTGGCTAGTTCTGGAATATATTTAAGAAAAATCAAAGAAACAACAAAATTAACAATAAAATTTTTTATCAATGATTTATTAGTACGAATAAAACAAATTTAATTTTTTTTAATTAAAATTTTGAATTAAAATTTTATGAATAAAAAAAAAGTATTTGAAGAGTTTTATTCTTATGAAGTCTAACGTAATTTAATTTTAAATTAATTAAAATTTAAGAAAATTCAAAGAAACAACAAAATTAACAATAAAATTTTT